CCAACCCCATGGCAGCTTCAGGCTGAGACCTTCGCAGGAAGTTATGAAGGACACAGGTGGCCTTCACACACTTCTCTGCAACAACTGGAGAAACCTCAAGGGCACGTCAGTACATCCTCCACTGAGTGGAAAGAATGCCGAAGGCATCTTCAACCACCAGCCGCGCCCTGGACAGCCGGTAGTTGAAAATGCGCTTCTCTCTGGGGAGGATGCGCCCTGGATACGGCCTCATGAGGTTTCTCCGGAGCGGGAAGGCCTCATCTGCAACAAACACATGAGGTTGGGGTCCCCTGTGTTCAGCTTCAGGCAGTGACCGATCCGGAGGCAGCAGGAGGGAGCCAGAACGTAGGGCCTGACCAAACGCAGAGTTGGCCAGAATCCCCCCATCACTGGTCCTCCCGAAGCCTCCGACATCGATCACTCGGAAGCAATAATTGGCATCTACAACTGCCAAGAGAACAATAGAAAATGTTCCCTTGTAGTTATAGAACTGTGATCCTGAATTGGCAGGAGCCTTCAGAACCACGTGCTTCCCATCCACTGCACCACAACACAAGGGGAAGTTCCACCGCTCCTCAAAACCCTGTGCCATGGATCTCCACTCATCACAGGTGGGCACAGCCATGAAGTCCTCCACCAAGCACTCCCAGATGCAGGACACGGTGTCTGCCACAATGCCCGACACGGTGGAAACTCCAACCCGGAAGCTGTATGCGATGGTCCTGAAGGAGTCTCCAGTAGCCAGGAACCTAAAGCACATAAAAATTAATTTCATTACAAATTTTATTTAAAATATGAGGCCATATGAAATAGAAACGTAACCGAAGATTTGAGTGTCCATAAATCCTCTTTGACACAAACATTTATGCTAGCACCCAGTGTATCTGGTCATTTTAAAGTAATTGATTTCCAGGTAATTTTTTTACAGTATGTATTGAATGTGTTAAGGGTTAATTTTTTTCAGTGTAACTTCTTACTTTACTGAGTGGATCAAATAAAGGACACAGACTAATCCTGTTTACTTCTTCAGCAGCACCTTATCAGTCTGATCAGATAGGATTATTTTCACAGGAGTTATATTATCTGTCTTTAGTAAATTGATCAGATTCACAGAATTTCTAAATCACATTAGTGTGTGCAAGAGAAGTTTTATTTTGACTGGATATTAAAGGACAGAGGCAAAGAGCAGCTCACAGGAGGAACTCAGTGTACAGAAAGCTGATAAACTTTGCAGTTTTGCCTTATTTGCCCAGTGTATCTGCTCATTTTAAATTAATTATACTTGATTATACTCACCGCAGACAGATAGACAGGCGCTCCGAAGCTGGAATGGAGCGCCTGTAGTTGGTGTCCTGGCGGGAGATGCTGCTTCCCACCCGGGCGAGGAGGTCCTCAAACTGCGCCGTCGACAAACGGAAATACCGCTGGAAACGGCCATCGTCGAGGCGGAGCTCCTGGAGCAAACGGTGATATTCACCCAGCTCCGTCCTCCTCCGGATGGTTTCATGCACCCATACACGCCGGCGGCGTCTATGTCGGACACGAAGGTATGCGGCAGCACAGGTCACGATGTCGTCCATCTTCAACACTGGTCGCACTGAAAACTGAGCTACTGACGTTAACGTGATGACGTCATCGGCAACCAGCCGCGACCTGCGACCTCCGCGACTGCAGCTTTGGACCCGGTGTTGACACACCAGGGCACCACGCGACGCGACCTGAGCAACCAACGCGACGCGACCTGGTCGCGTTTGGTCTGAACGCGGCTTTACAGAGACTTCATCTGCTCTGTACAGGAGGAGAAACTGGTTTTCAGTCTTTGTTCCAAGTTTTAAAGGTTTCTTCTCTTTTAATTCAGACATTTACTCTTATGTGACACTTCAATCAAAGGACCTTCATGTACCTTATTGTCATACTTCCATTAGGCAGTTTTCAATATGATACAGAGGATCTAGTTTATGGAATGCCACTGACCCAAAGCTTAAAAAACCTCATTACCAGTCTTCAAAGCCAACTACAAAAAAATGTTGATTTCCAAAAAATAGTTGTTTAATGTATCAACTTGTATGGTAATGTCTGTGGAGTTTGAGTTTGTACTATGCATGTATCTTACTGTATGTATCTTATTGTTTAACATTTTAACGGATGTATTGGGGCTTGAGCTGTCCAGTGCAGTTTCAGAGAGGGATCAGACAGGGATGTCCTATCTCTGGAATATTGTACTCCATAGTTATTGAGCCTCTTCTGACCAGGATAAGAGCCAAGCTGTCAGGTCTTATGTTGCCAGAGATGCCTCAGTGCCTCCCGCTGGTAGTGTCTGCTTATGCAGACAATGTTAAAGTCATTGTGTGGGATCAGGAGGATGTGGATTTGCTGAGTTGTAGTCTAAATCTTTATGAAAGGGCTTCTTCAGCAAAAGTTAACCGGGGGAAGAGCGAAGCATTACAGGATGGGCAGTGGGCAGACAGGGACATTCCAAAGCTGCCAGGAAACCTCGGTTGGGGGAGGCAAGGGTTAAAAATCTTGGGTGTCTTTTTGGGGACAGAGGAGTTTCAGGTGAAGAATTGGGAGGGTGTTGTGGCGAGAGTGTATGCCAGACTGTCTAAATGGAAATGGCTGCTACCTCAGCTTTCCTATCGGGGACGAACCCTAATTGTTAATAACTCGGCTGCCGCGACCCTGTCCCACCGAATGATCGTGCTGCCTCCACCCGGGGGCCTGGTGTAAGAACTTCAGAGGGCAGTTGTGGACTTTTTCTGGTCTGGTTTGCACTGGCTGAGAGCAGCAGTCCTGTATATAACAATGCACGAAGGGGGGCAGGGCCTGGTGGACATTACATCCCGGATCACAGCCTTCAGGCTGCAGACAGCCCAGAAACTGCTGTACAGCTGTGGCCTGCCACAGACTAACACCACCTGCTTGCTGCTGAGGAGGGCCGGACGCCTGGGGTGCGACAAACACCTGTTCCTGCTTCGGCCAGGGTCCACGGGTATGACCGGTCTGACTCCGTTTTATGGCTGAGAATGTGGTGCTGATGCTGACTGGGATGCTGGCCACTCGGCTCAGAGTGGAGTTCCAGGCTGTGTCTCATTTCAGAGACTGCATCGTGATAAGCGCGCTTAACGGCGCTTAGCTGAGTGCACTGCCGTTTTGTGCCATTTTGCACCGTTCTGTGCCCTTCCTGTGTCCCATTTCAGATACAGCAGCCATCGAATGGCGCATCTGACGCGTACGTGAGGTCACCACGCGGCATGAACAGTGTCCCGTTTGGCACAAAATACTAAGCGCGCTTCAAATTCGGTCTCAAAACCACACTACCCCCGCCCCTTTTTCAAGCGTGCATGTATGCACGCTTTCGTGCCGTCAGTATCCCAGAATTCTTTGTGTGCCGCTGCACAGCTGCACATTTCAGGTGAGAGGCTAGACTCGCTTGGAGGCACAGCACGTCTTCGAAGAAAATACAAGAAATCCAAAAACAGCAGACAGTCAGCTCAGGCTGTATGAGAGCATGATCTCTGAACTCACTAAAATCTGTAAACCAAACATTATAGATTTAGAGACGAACTGATCCGCTCTGCTACAACTATCAAAAACATTAGAAATAATAAAGCTGACACAACTACAGTAGAGTATCAGGACAACATTGAGTTTTTTTTTCTTTTAAGATTTAGAGATTAAAGTTGTAAATTTAGGAGAATAAAGTCATAAAGTATTAAGTCATAAAGCTGCTTTTGTGGAGGGGGAAATGACTGAAGCTGGTCATCTGCAGGGTTATCGGTGGATGTATCAGTGGGTCATTCAGATAGATTTTGTGGTTTCTGAAGAAACAATCAAACTGATGATGATCAACATTTGTGATCCAGAGGGAGTCGAGCTCAGACGAGCACCACATCTCTGACACCGGCGGTAACCTACACCAGCAGAGACACCAACACCTTATTATGGCAGATGGATTCATATCATAAACTAAAGCTCAATGTCATTCACGGATATTTACGGCTGCATTGACAGATATATCCTCAGCATATTCATTTCTGCCTCCACAAAAGCAGCGATTTCCTTCTAGTACACCTGTTTTTTTTCCCCTTGGAAAAGACGTATTTCTCATATGTTCTTTTTTAAGTCTTTATACTTACGACAATGTGATGCTGATGTGCCAAAGGATGAAGTATCTCCTTGTTTGTGAAACCTATACTGAAGCACAGTTCCTTCAAATGCTTCATGGCCCTAACTTTAACAAGTCTCCTCTGAAATAACAGGTTACGACTTTATTCCCATAAATTCACGACTTAAATCTCGAAGTCTTAAAAAAACATTCTCAATATGGCCCTCATAGTCCTTCATACAAAACAATCATTGGATGAATTTTGTGGGAATGATCTGTGCTTGTATGTATCTACTATTTTGTGTCTGTGCAAGGTCGCACAATTAAAAAATAAATGCTGCGCTCCGCGGCTTTTCTTCAAGTCAGTTGTGACGCGAGCCTGACGGACCATCTCACCCCTCTGGTTGGGTCGCCAAATGTCCCTGCCCGCAGGCCCGGGTCACGGCTGACTTGAATAAAAGCCGCCGATCGCAGCAGGTGCAGGTGTTAACAAGCACAGGTGACAACAATGGAAGTCGCAACCATGTGGCAAATGGCTTTTGCCTTAAATCAAGATGTGACGCTGCGCGGCGACGGAGGCGCCTTGTGTACTTTTTCTTGAGAATGCGTGCCGAAAGTGGAGAGGTAAACCTGTTATTTTATCTGGCATTCATCAGCCACACTATAGTTGTGCCATTGTCACTCCCTGTGTATCACGTGAATTCCCCCTTTAATTCACAACAGTGCATGTCATGGAAATCTTCATAGGTGTCAAAAAATATTATTTCGTTTACTAACATCAGCTGAAAAGCCAACATTGGCTGTTAGTACATGAGACATTAACCTGCACAATTCACAATCATTGCAAGCGACATCCATGCCATGACCGTTCTTTCTCCTGCTTTGTTCCTAATGCATGCAGACCGGACCCCTGAACTGCAGGCTACATACGGGGGTTCCGGTCCTCCAACGGTTTTTCGCCGGCGACGACACCAGGGAGGACTTCAGGCTGAGCAGAGAGTCCCTGGCAGTGCTGCTGGACCTCCTCCATCAGGACCGGAGGCATGGATGGGGCGCCACAATAGAGACTTTGGTTCTCCTCTTTTGGCTGGCCAGTGGGACATCATACCGGGTGGTCTCAAGGGTGTTTGGGATGCCCCGCTCCACTGTCCACCGCATTGTCCACCGAGTTACGGAGGAGGTAGTGGCCATTCGCCACAGAGTCATCTACCTCCCGAGGTCCGCTGACGACCTGGCGGCCGTAACTCGGGGGTTTGCAGGGCTGGCTAGGCACCGCGCTTTTCTCAAAGCTGCCGGTGCAATCAACGGCTGCCATGTCAGAATTAAGCCACCAAGCGGTCCTGATGGTCACTGCTACATCAACAGAAAACTGTTTGCATCAATCATCATGCAAGCAGTCTGTGACCATCAGGGACGCTTTATTGACACCTACGTGGGCTGGCCGGGGTCTGTGCATGACGCAAGGGTACTCCGGCACAGCCCACTGTACAGGCAGAACATCTACCCTCCTCCAGGGTATATTATTCTGGCAGACAGCGGGTACCCGTGCCTCCAGCACCCACTCCCCCTCATCACTCCCTACAGGCTGCAGGTGCGAGGTGTGGCGGCCCAGCGCTTTAACGGGCATCATGCCAGGGCACGCTCTATAATTGAGCATGCCTTTGGCATGATGAAGACCCGATTTTGTGCCATCTTTTTAAAAGCGCTGGAGATCCGCCACACCTTCGTGCCACAGGTACGTCATCCCTGCACACAATATTTTTGTTATACTTGAATATATATTAATTAATTAATTAAATAAATAAAAACACGAAAACTTATTATATATTATTATACTTATATTTTTATATTTTTTTATTTATTAAAGGTCTATATACTTTATGTTCCTATAAATATTCCTCTAAAATTCAGGTCATCACCGCTTGTGCCGTCCTGCACAATATCTGCCTGGGTGCCGGTGACACCATGGCACCAGAGGAAGATGTGCAGGACGGCATGCCAGGGGATGAGGTGGAGGACAGGCTGGAGGCAGTCAGTGGTGCCCGCTGGCGGGACAGATTGTCCGCAGAGGTGTCGGCCATGGAGGAGGTAGACCACGACCACGTCTACCTGTAATCGGCAAGTACAATTCATCTAAAGTTTCTCCTCTGTGTGCCACAGAATGTTTGTTGGTTACTGATCAGCTTTTTAGACCTCAGAAGATGCGACTTAAAAATTGTTGGACTCTGTTAGCCTACTATTGTTTCTCTCTTTAAAACAGGCATGGCAGCCGTCGAACCAGCCCTGCAAACCTGGACGATGTGGAGGACAGTGGAGACATGCATCCAAAACACCCAGACCACCCACATGATGTCCCACTGCCAGCAGACACCAGAGTCTCTATTGTGGTGTCCCATCCAGCCCAGCAGCACTGCCAGAGACTCCTGCTCAGCCTGGAGGAGGCACCATGACAGGGCAGGCAATAGCCCAAATGTCCTGAGTTTGTTAAGTTCTGTTTATACAGTGGTGCCTGTTTGAGTTAGCGTTTTGCCAATGTTTAAATCCGCCAAGGAGGTTATGTTTTTGGTTGGTTTGTTTATTTGTTTGTCTGTTAGCAACTTTACGGAGAAAGTTACAGACGGATTGACCTGAAATTTTCACCAGAGGTGCGTCTCAGCCCCAGGAGGATCCTATTTCATTTTGGTGGTGATCCGGATCGCCTTCTGTATTGTTAGAGTAATGTGTATAAAAGTTTATAGAAATTATCAGTAGCTTTAAATGCCTTTACCTTTTGCTTCTTAACACATGAGCAGACACTTGTGTTTTTCTTACATCTCTGAGCTTGCCTTCTTCCAGTAAGCAGATAAGCAGATGGGTACCTGTCTCCGCTGTGAACAGTTAACCACCACAAAGGAGACTGAAATGTCAGCGGTCATCTTGACATCTACAGAAGAAGTCTGCACATGCTTACTCTAGTATAATTATGTGTTATGAAAGTGCTTACGCTGCTGCAGATTGTTTCCCCACCCTTTAGTGTATGCAGCGTCTTGTAACTAGGGACCACCCTAAGGATAATGAAAAGCGAGGAGACGGCAAGGTGCTCTTCAGAGCGGTTAAACAGTAACAGTAAAAGTTTTGGTGTGAATCACAATATAAGGGGGGACATGAGCTGCTTGGCTGAGGTCTGCGCTCTCCGAGTGCTTTTCCAGTTTGTATGTTGTTGACCTCAGTATTTTATTCCATTTTCATTTTCCTCACCTTTTTATAAAAAGATATAACTCAAAAATGAAAACTCTGAAATCTTTATTATGCGAGGATGTGTAGCGGTCGTACTTGCGTTGTGTACTTATTTCAGGAGGGAAACCGTACTTCTGTGGTTGGCACCTGCCGCTTATTCAGCATCTGGCAGATATTAACACAGTCAGGTCTTACACAAGACATGCGGCCGCTCTTTCACTGCAAGCATAAAATTACAACATAAGTACCCTCTTAAATATGGAACTTTAAAGATAATTAAAACAAATAATTACGGACATCACAACATGTGGACTTACCAGGCAAGCAGCGCAGGACAACTGTTGCTGCATACCTGGGTTCACTTCCCAAATCCCCAGGGGTGTTGCATTTGAGGGCTGCAGGGAATCTGAACATCAGTACTAATCATCCTTAATAAAAGAACCCAATGCGAGGCATGGCAAGTGAAATCACAAAACATTATTTGTAATTCCGTTACGGATGCACTGGATGCTGTCTGGCCACCCTGTTGCCAAAACAGCTTGAGGAGGGATAAATGAATAGACTGGAGACGGTGTAAGCAACTTAGAATTCTTTAATAAATTAAAAAAAAAATGCCATGCGTAATGGGATTGAAATCGGAACCACCTGTGCGTAAAGACGGATCAAACAAAGCCTGATTGTATTTTGTCCTCCTTTACGCTAATGTTTGCATGTGAAATGAACTTGGCTCACACAATTTATAACTTCTTTATTCTAAATTAAAGTATTGTTAACAATTAAAAAAAAGAATTTCTGTGATTTTCTAAAATAAAATTTCTGGTCAGCCTCGGCAGAATTGCCGCCATCACGGCAGCAGCAGCAGCACACCACAAGAGAGGAGGAGGAGGAGGAGGAGGAAGAACAGCAGCAGCAGCAGGTGGTCGGGGAGGAGGAGAAGGAGGGAGAGGACGAAGACGACCGCGAGGAGGAGGACCAGGGGGAGATGCAGGAGGGGGCAGGACACGGACACGAGCCGGCAACACTGGGTCGGAGACGAAACCGGGTTCAGCGGGAGGACCGCCCCTTCCTGGACACCCAGCGGGCTGGTTTTCAGATGTTGGAGAGGGAGCTGGGGTCGATGGGGACGCGGCCTGATTCGCTGGAGGCCCAGGTGAAGTCTCTTCAGGAGGTCCTCGTGGCCAGCCTGCTCCCCCTAGCCTCTGGCGTTGCTACACTACAGCGGCTGGTCCAGGTAGCCGAAAGGCTGCTGCCACCCGCAGAATCATCCGCCCCCGCCTGTCCCAGGTGGCCACTGAGGCCGCGCACAAGAGGAGGGCGGCCCCCTGGGTTGACTGACCAACTGCAGTGTCCAGACCCAAGAGGAGGAGGAGGAGGAAGAAGAAGAAGGGGGGTTGGGAGGGAAGAACAACAATAAAACACTTGTTAACGCAATCATGTTTGACTCTTTATTGGATGTTTTAATGTGGATAATTACAAAAAGTGTATAAATGAATGAAAGCAAATACTCACACTTAAGGGCAGAGCTGTGCTGCGAGGCGGTCCCTCCTCTCCTGTGTGCTCTGCTGCTCTCCCTGCTGACATGGCACATGCAATTCGGCCTCTCTCTGCCTAAAGTCCAGTAATGTGTCCTCGGCGAGGTCATAGTGGCATCCATGGCGTATAGCTATGTTGTGTAAAACACAACATGCCACAGAATGCACCGACACTCTGCGGGCTGTATGTTAATGAACCACCTAACCGGTCCAGACATCTGAAACGCATTTTGAGGATTCCAAAAGTACGTTCAATGACTGACCTAGCACTGCTGAAGACACTGTTAAAAACACGTTGCTGTCTTGTTGAAGGTGTAATGTATGGCGTCATCAACCACGTTTTCAGTGGATAGCCGTTATCACCTACGAGCCACCCATCCAGAGGGGTGTCCCCCTGAAAGACTGTAGGGATGATAGAATTCGCCAGGATGAATGAATCATGTGCAGACCCGGGGTAATTAGCGTACACGTTTGTCACCAGGCAATTTGAGTCACAAATCACCTGGATTTTGATGGAGTGGACTCCCTTACGACTCACATAAATGAGGGCTTGGGTCTCTGGTGCGCGCAACTGCACATGTGTGCAGTCAATTGTTTCAAGGACCCCAGGGAATCCATATTTCAACAAGAACCCTCGCTTCATTTCCAGCTGGCTTGCAGGTGATGATGGGAAAATGATGCACTCATTTGCGTGTCGGACTAGACTGGTGGACACTGCATGTATTGCCAAACTGACAGTGGCCTGACTTATCCCTACCACCGAGGCCACGGTATGCTGGAAAGACCCGGTGGCGAAGAAAGTCAGAGCCGCTGTCACCCTCACAGCAACTGGGAGAGCACATGGGCCACCGGGGTCCGCATCTGAGGCCACAATGCGTGTAATCGTGTGGACCACCTCACGGGACAGGTGTAATTTGTTCCTGTGTCAAGGGAAATAGTACATTGTTAAAAGGCAGTTGCATTGAACACGGTGTCGGAGGCGTGATCCATGTGGCCCACCTGCATTCCTGCTCTGTTAAGGTTAAATATGATGCCCTGTGATGAATCACCCTCGCCCTGTAATTTCTCCTCCTCCTCCTTCACCTCCTTGCAATTATGTACTCCATCTTTGTAGATAATGTTAAGCATGGAAATTATTAAATTTGTAGCTATGTGAGATCACATGCTGCAGGTAAATCTTGAGAACAATGGTCGTAACTTACTTTGCTTCAGTGTGCGTTGATTTTTTCTCAGTGTTCTGAGATGACATGCCAAATATATTCTCTCTCTGTGATGACAAAGCTTTTTGTGGTTGGTAGAGAGACGTGAAGTAGTTAGTTTGCATCAGAGTTTCAGCTGTGTTAGTTGGTCAGGTCCAGTGGCAATCAGGCGTGCCAAACGCGCTCCTATAGATATACATCAAAATATACTGATCAGTGGCGATTGCTCTAAGACTGCAAGGGAAGCTCAGCTTCCCTTAAAATGTCACCCCCCCAAAAAAAAGAAAAAGTGGTGAAATACGTACGGCTGTGTGTACATTTCATTAACTAAATACGCGCTAGAAAGCCTTCATCTTTTGTTCAGAATCAGCTTCTTATCACACTGTGATAAGAAGCTGATTCTGAACAACTTCGTTGTCATTCATCCTCGCAGCACCTCAGCACTTTAAACAGCCGGACGCTGGGCTTCTGCTGACTTCAATGCGGAAGCTCAAAGTGGGTTGTCCCAGCAGCGAAACTAGACGCTCATTGGATAAATGCTGGGCTTTGTCCCGCCTATCGGACGCTCAGCTTCACTGGAGTTCTATGGCGAGAGGGCGGTCCCGACTTTCTCCCGGACTCCGAGCTTCTGCATCCATGATTGAATGAGCTGTCTGAGGCGAAATCCTTGTTTGATTGACAGCTAAACAAGCGAATCAGCGATCTTGAAGAATAAAACATCTACTAAAGCATTTTCCAAGTCATTCATTCCGTTGTTCTTAACTGTTTCGGAGACTTTACCGATCCTCAGCGACTTTTGTCTTTGTTAAAAACGACTGCCGTTGTGTTTGGCAACTCTTTTCAGTTACATATAAATAAACAAACACAATTATGATGTAGGCCAGAAAAATGAGCTTCCCCTCCTTGAGAGACCAGCAGCCGCCACTGATACTGATGTATTGTAGATCTAAATGTATGTGCTGCATGTATTTAAATCCCACATGACAAAGATGAGTTGTGCGCACAGATCACACAATAAATTCCAATAATGGCATTAAAATCGCAACCATCTGTGCGTAATGATGCATCGCGCTGCTGCAGGACGGAGAGAGGACACGGAGACATGTCCAGGTCGAGCTGCGCGAGAAATAAGAGGAAGAGGAAGAAAGAAAAGGAGGGAGACGAATTAAATATCTTGTTAACTTCATCATGTGTGTCTATTTACAAGATATTTAATTTAATTTAATGCGGTTTCAGCTGTGTTGATTCGGTCAGGCTGTGTGTCCAAAATCAGATCAGATATACCGTAGATCAGAATATATCGATATAGATCTAAATGTATGTGCTGACTCTTACGTTGACTTTACGCACTTTACACGCCGGTAGTGAGCACGAAAATGTCTCTGTGCCCGCTGATTCTGTCGACACCTCCCCCTGCCATGCCACCACGCCCAGCTTGGTGGATCTCGGTTTGCCTCTGTGCGCCTCACGCCTGGTTCACACTGGAAGCGCCGCGCGCGGAACGGAAGCGCCGCGCACAGAGTTTCGGATCGGCGCCCATGTTAACCTATGAGACTGTTCACACAGCACGCGCGCGGAACGGCTCGCGCTCTGGAGCGCGGGTGCTCCGCTTCTCTCTATTTTCGGCGCGAGCCGCGAGCGCCGATGTAAAGCTCAACAGAGCAGATCGGACCAGACAGGAAGTCAGGAAGGAGATGCGAGAGAATCCGGTCAATTTTCAAAATAAAGTAAATTTCAATAAATTAGAAAAGGATTTACGGTGTTGCTTGTCAGTCTATTTTTTTTTTACCGATGAACACACACACACACACACACACACACACACACACACACACACACACACACACACACGGAGGGAGAGCTGCAGAGATTCAGTGATGTTATTGAGACAAAGAGGGGGGGGACTTTATTACGATACAGTCAATAGCCTCGAGCTAAGGCTATACATACAACGGAGTCAACAGACTCCCCAATTTATTCGTCGTTTACCCCTATATAATAATTTAAAACATTACTTGAAGATGCTGTCAATATTTAATTCATGTATGACGAAATAAAAACGTAAATAAATAGTGATTTACCCATTTTTAAAGCGCTCGTAAGTGTGGAAAACTGAGGGCAGACGGAAACGGCCGAGCACTACCGGGCTCAGTCGATGTCTAACCGGCATGTCAGAGCGCAGCAGAAAGCGCTTCCTGTGTGAACAGCCAAGCGCGAGCCGGCGCTGCGCGCGCGCGCGGCGCTTCCTGTGTGAACCAGGCGTCAGTCCATAAAAATACCAAACTGGCTGTACGCCGGGCTGCGCCAGACGAAAATACAACTGCGCGGGGCTTGCCTGCCTCCGTCGCCTCACCGCCGTACTCGAAAATAGAGCCCAGAGAGTGATCTCTCTCTAACACAGGACTCTCAGTCATCCTACTCCCCGGCTCAAATAAAAACCTTCCTGGAGCAGACTAAGGGCTCCAGGCTGCCTAATGTTGAGGATTTCTTCCCAGAGCTGCGCTCATTTATGAGGTCAGCCAGGCCCCTCACCAGGAAGAGCCATGGGGAGGAGGTTTTAACAGAGAAGGAAGTTTTTAGACTCAAGAAGACTTTACCGAGGGTAAAAGCTCAAATCATCAGTGATGAAGATGATTTTTAGATGTTTTTACCTTTCACTGACTGCTCTCCTGATTGTTTTGTATTCTTTATCCATGTGTGATTTTAATATCAGCACCTTAAACCTGAACAGGGCCTGGGCTGATTTTAAACGAGCCACTCTTTTTAAACTGATGGAGACTAAAAGAATAGATATTATGTTTGTCCAAGAAACCCACAGTAGCTCAGACAATGAAAATGATTGGAAGAGGGCTTTTAATGTGGAGGTAGTTTTAAGCCACAGCCGCTGAGTGATGTGTGGAGGGTTTTTAACAGTCAGCACAGAAAGTACACCTGGAGTCACAGCAGGGTGGGGTTTTTAATTCTGGCCAGACTGGACCATTTTTATTGTTTTATACACCATTTAAACATTTTTAAAAAGTGTTTTATGCTGCCTGTTGGTTTTACGGATCATTTTTTAGTCTCCTGCCATGTTTTTTTATCAAAAATGTTTGTTTAAAGAGCGCCTATTAGCATTTTAACACAGCCCTTTTAACTGACCAGGCTTTCAGAACTGCTTTTAGGTGTTTTTGGGAATCCCACAGAGAGAGCAGGCCTGCCTTCACTAGCATACAACAGTGGTGGGATTTTGGGACAGCTTAATCCAGAGGCTGCTGATGGGGCTGAAGGACACTCTGTGGAGGCCCCTGTCCCACTGCATTCTGCAGGGTTTTAACAGCCTGGGTCAGGATTTTAATTTGTTTTTAATGAACACACAGAACACGAGCACATCATGTCTGCCTGCTTTTTATCAAAGTGTTTTTAAGGTTTGGAGCCTGCTGAGGAAGGAGAGGAGGGGCCAGATGGACTCCATCTACTGGCTCCTGCAGGACCCGGTCCTATGGGGGACCCGTTTGGACCTTCCCGGCTGGGCAGGACAGAGTCTAGAGAAAAGACTGCAGACGGCAGGGATCGTCACTCTGGGGCAGGTGGTGGAGCTGACGGGACCCCGGATGGACGACCCCTCTGGACTCGCTGCCCGGCTGGGACTTTCATCAATGAGGGTCACCCAAAAACTCCCCTTTTACCCAGACAATGACCGAAGAAGACCCCTTTCCTGCCATCTTCCTGGCACTGGATTTTAAAGAGTGTTTGGCCCGCTGTTGGATTTGAACCACCCCGCCCCTTTGGAGGTCACACCAGGAAAAACCTTTTATAAAATCATGGTAAAAACAACAAACAGCAAAAAACTGGACAAAAGACCTGACACCCCATGGGGGAACTATCTGCGCCTGGCTCCGGAGGCCAGGCCTGAGTGGAGGGCCTTCTACAAACATCCACTCAAAAAGACACGCAGATGTGCACTGGAGAGTCCTCCATGGGGTCATCACAGTGAACTCTTTTATATCGAACATTAACCCGGGAGTAGAGGACACAAGTCCCTACTGCCCCCAGAGGGAGACGATTTTTCACTATTTCTATGAATGTCTGAGTCTTTTACCCTTGTTTCTGTTTTTACAAACTGTTTTTACCAAGTGTGGAGAGGTTTTTAACAAGCGGGTTTTTATACTGGGTTTTAATTACACACACCAACACAAAAAAATTTTAAACTTTGTTTTAGGAATGGCCAAGATGGCAGTGTATTTCAGGAGGAGGAAGGTGGAGGATGGTTTAATTGTTGATCAGGTCACTGTTTGTAAAAATTAAAATCAATGAGGAGTCTGGACTTCATCATATTTTTACAAAGCAGGATGAGATCTGGACTCATTCCAGCAGGTTTGGGGTTTCAATCAGGTGTTGTGCTCAGTAGCAGGAAATATTTTACAATTTGAAGATGTTCTCATGTGAATATTTATTTATTGATTTTGTGTGTGTGATTGATTGATTGACACATTTTATGATTTCAAGAAATGTTGACATACACTTACTCAAAGAGAACCCTTTCATGAGTTTCTCCATGTCTTCATTGAGGTAGACACTGAGGCTCCTCAGGACACAGTCACGCTTGACATTTTTGTCTTTATTCTGAAACAAACATATCAACATGATCACAAAGCCAATTACAGCTACTGCATTGATTTACAGTTTATGTAATAATAAAAAAGCAGGTCATTTTATTTAGTAATGTTTTATGTATTTGTTTTCTTTCTGTAGGGACCATGCTAATATGTTTGTTTTATTATTCAAGATTTTTGACCTTGGTTTAATACTCTACAAAAAATTACTTTGACTCATTTTAAAATTGATCAACACAGTCTTGCATTTCACATTACTCTTACCAATAAAATAAATCTGTTTAATCTTCCAATTCGAGAGTAGAAGTAGAATCCTTTTTTGTTGATTATAGATTATAATGTATTTGTTTCCCTTAGAGAATCAAATGTTATTTGTTAAATTTATCTGTTTATTTTGGTTCAAACTGCCAAACAAAACCGTATTTTTTATGATTCCACCTTTTTGATCTTTTTGACAGGATAGATCCAGGTCCATGCAGGTCTGGGTATGTCATTGCAAACATGTCAAACTGGTCTGCTTATTACTCAGTTATTCTCATAGACAACATCATTCAACAACAGCTCATAAATCGTGTCACAGCCTCCTCAATATCAACTGATAGCAAAAGCTACAGCTGCTGTGTGATTGAAATTCATATCACCATAAACACCTATTGTACTGGATATTTATGTGCTGTGATAGGCTGAAATAAAAATGAAAAAGCCTCAGACTGATAAAGTCACATTGGGGTCCTCAGCAATTCTGTTTTTCTTTCACACCATCAGCCTCAGGCTGCATATTGGTGTTCATGTGGATTTGCTCTGAATCAGCCAGATAACAACGTGATTTCCGGCAGAAGACACCATGAGTCAGTGGCTCAGCTGTTTCAGTCATGACTGCTGTGATATTTTTATGTAGCTCATGCAAGCCCACGTTTGATTGTTTAAAGTGCCGTCATAAATCTAACTGAATTATTGTTCTGTATGCACTATAACCACTCCATCAGATCAAAGTCTGAGTTTCCTTTTGTGTCCAAGATTTAAGTAAAGTTTGCATGCAAAGAACTGCAGTTGGAAATGTTTGTTTTTATCATTTCAACAACTGTAACACTCATTTTTCCAGTCTGAATCAAGAAACCATTAACCGCTTACAGTTAGTTCAAAACTCAGCAGCAAAGACCTCTTTTGTTCCCACATCACCTCGGATTCATTTCAAGATCCTTCTTTTTATGTACAATGCTTTGAATGGTTTGAATGGTTTTACCCCTTGAGTTTCTGTCATGAACCAAGGCACAGAGAAGAGGACACAATCGCACAACACCGAATCAGTTGGTCCGAATGACCAGGGTTTATTGAAAAAACAGGCAAAGGTGGGTACACAAAAGGCAGTCATGTCAGGCAGAGGTATCCAAAAACGTGAGGAAAAAGGCAAGGTCTGAAATAAGGCAGGCAAAGGTAATACATGGCAGGACAAATGCTATGAATAACGCTGGGACTTGACTATGAAGTGCAACTAACTGGCAATGAGACGATGAGACACATGAGGTTAAATACAAGAGGTAATTAGGACAATGGGAAACAGGTGTGGAGGGACAATCAGGCAGCAGGTGTGGAGGGACAATCAGGCAGCAGGTGTGACAAGCCAGGGGCAGGGCAGACCAGACAGGAACAAATCTAGAAGACAGAAACAAGGGTTAATGAGCTACAAAATAAAACAGGAAATGCATAACATGAAACAAAACATACCAACCAACATAGATATACAAAAAAATAAAAAAGGAAAATTAACTAATATGACAATATCAGTTAACTAACAACATCATATACCACTGCTCAGCCCCTCAGGTCCTCTAAACCAGGGCTAATCCTTTCCCTACACTGAAATCACCCGAGGACTGTGTGTTTCTTGTTCTGGGTCCCAGACTATAAAAGAGTCTCTCTATGGGAGGCAAACCAGAAAACTCTGTAGAGTGCTTTAAGTCAAATGTGTAGACTGGCCCTTTTCCCCCTTTTTTTTCCCCTTTTTTTTGTTTTTGTTTGTTTTATCTTTTTGTAAAGCACTTTTTAACTCAGGTCTTGAACAGTGCTGTACGAATAAAATTTTACTTAACTCACTTTTCTTTTGGTATTAATACACTGTATACACATCACTTTCCTGTTTGTACCCAAGGTACCCATACTCGACCAACACTAGTCTGCTTCCAAACAGCTCAGGTGACATACTTGTTTCAGGTTCACCATCTCCTCTTTATAGTTCATAACTTAAATGTTTTGTTCTGATTTTGCTTTTTCTCTCTCTGCTGCTGTACAGTTGTTGACCAAATTATTTATGTATATTTTACAGTTGTTAAAATTTTGTACTATACTGTTTCAATTTCATGCTCTAAGGCCCCCCAGACTATTAAAGATTTGTGAATTTGAATAAATGACAGCATGCAATTGGGGACTCCACTGGTTATCAGATGAAGTCTGATTTTATGAAGTTCAACCAGAAAAAGGCCCCCTTTAGTTTGAATGACTCACAAAAGGTAACTGTCCTAATCTTTCCTTTTGAAACAGAATAATGATCACCCTGTAAGTGATGGACTCATCAAGAACAAATGTTTATAACCGTTGAACAGTTTATGTATAATTTTTCCTCTTGTTACCTTTATATAATATTTATTTTGAATGGAAAGTGAGTAGACATGCAAAGAATCACAAGGAGCAGAGTTACGAGTACTTCAACAAAGAGGAAGGCAAGGAGATGCGTCTTGTACCACTTGGAAGTGAAGACAATACTCAGGCGCTGAGACTGAGGGCTGCAGGCTTCTTAAAGTGCCTTGATTGTAGATGAAGAGCAGGTGTGTAGTCTCACTCAGCCTCAGCAACCGGGGGAGGGGAGGAAGCTCTGGGAGAGAGTAAAGCCAGACCAGGCAAACAAGGAAACACATGAAGTTCAGCCAAAATAAAACAAAAGGAGGAGGCGATATGTTGCTATCTTCTTTTTTTATTTAATTGGCCGATCTCCTGGTTTTGCTCACAGCATTCACCTTTTCACAGATAGCCTCCCAAATCTTGTTTCTTCTAACAATGTTGAGATGTCCCTGCTGGAGTTCACCAGTGTGTTTATTTGCTTCCTCCACCAAGACCTCCAACTCCATGACTTCAAACTTCACTTTTCTGCTACGACCACTCTGCTCTCCCAAACTCTCCATGGTGACAGCCGGTAGCTTACACAAAATCCTCATTTAAAAAGAGTGGTCTGCACCACTTTCACACCTGTTATCAATTGTGCACATAATCATAGTCACCCACAACATGCCTACCAAAAGCACATGCAGTTAGTAGGTTATGCCCAGAGCGCAAAGTTCACTGGAGTCAAATTCCTTGTAGAGGAGCAGAAAAGTGATATAATTGTTCAGTTGGTGATACAAGCATGAAAATTGGTGTGAACATTCTCCATGGGTCACTTGACAAGAAAAGCGTCTCAGCCATTTGACATTTTAAGATGACAGCCATTTTTCAAGATGGCTGCTACCTAAGTGGAACAATTAGGTGATGTACTTGTTAGATTGGTAATATAGGCATGAAAATTGGTATGAACAGCCTTCTTGAGTCACTCAACAAGAAAATGTCCCAAGCTGCTTGAAATTTCAAGGTGGCAGCCATCTTATTAGAGCAGTTGAATGATGTAAAGTTGGTGTTATAAACATGAAAAATGCTAAGACCATTCTCCATGACTAACTTTACAAAAAGAATGCCCAAAGCTGCTTGAAATTTCAAGATTGTGATCAATTTTAAAATTTATTTTGAATATTTTCTGTTTTTCTTTGTAAATCAAACATGAGACCTCTTTTGTTCCCACATCACCTCGGATTCATTTCAAGATCCTTCTTTTTATGTACAATGCTTTGAATGGTTTGAATGGCTTTACCCCTTGAGTATCTGTCATGAACCAAGGCACAGAGAAGAGGATACAATTGCACAACACCGGATCAGTTGGTCCGAATGACCAGGGTTTATTGAAAAAACAGGCAAAGGTGGGTACACAAAAGGCAGTCATGTCAGGCAGAGGTATCCAAAAACGTGAGGAAAAAGGCAAGGTCTGAAATAAGGCAGGCAAAGGTAATACATGGCAGGACAAATGCTATGAATAACGCTGGGACTTG